AGATGCATAACCTGGCTATGGAGAACGACTGGCTTGCTGCGAGCCACGCCGCAGGTGACGCGAGCACGGCGATGTTGAGCCCCCTGCAGGCGTGGCGGGCAGGCGGGCTCCCTTATTACGCGGGTGCAACGGACACTCTGTTACGCGGGGGACGGGACAGGGTGTGGCGGAGCTGCATTCGGACGCGGGCCTGGGGCCAGATGTCTGGTCGCTACTTATTCCCTTTTATTTATTTTCAAAAATATGAATTTATTAAGCTTAATTAATCCGTCATTAGCACATGTGTTACTGTAGCACCACATTGTCAAATTATAGACTAATTAGGCTTAAAAGATTCATCTCGTAAATTAGTCGCAAACTGTGCAATTAGTTATTTTGTAGTCTATATTTAATACTCCATGCATGTGTCAAACATTCGATGGGATAGGGATTAAACTTTAGGGAAGCAAATAAACAAGGCTAAGATAAATATTTTATTCTCTTCAAGTCAACAGAGTTTAAATGTCAATTTTCGCTCTAACAAATATGATTCGGCTGCTCTGATGTTGATGGTTTGTTTAATTTTCACCTACGCTAGAGCTGCTCTAAAGGCATCAAATGTTAAGACAACACAACAACATAAATGCACTACTAAATCCTCATCTTGTGATGAACAATGAGGAGGGGGCTACCATGATATCTACAGTAGAATGTTAACAATCACATGCACAATTGAAAGAGTGATTTATGAAAAAAAATCCTCAACGTGAGGAGTAAACCACGAGATCTACTAGTATACTCTAAGGGTCTGTTTGGTAGAGCTCCATCTGATTCTGATTTTTTATGGGAGCTGATGCTTTAAGAGAAGTGATTATGTGGCTAAAAGTGATTCTATTTGATTTTTTAGCATAAACTTTCAAAATCACAATGGACAATCACTTCACACAATCAGGAGAAGCTACTTTTTTCAGCTCCCAGCCTTTTAGTTCATTTCAGATAATCACTCACAGAATCAGCATAGAATCACTTTTCTCTTAAAATTGTTTGGTAGATTCAACATAGAATCAACTATGGAAGCTCTGCCAAACAAGGCCTAAGTTTCCACTAGTCAACAATGGGTATAAGGAGTCTTCTCTAAACCATGTAGAGCATTACAACAACAACACATTCATTAAGTTGCAACTTGGCATCTAGTACAACAACTACAACCATCTAATAAGAGGAATGGTAATAGACAAAAGGAAAGTCACATATTCTATCCCCTCAACAATCGGTTCGTATCTCGTAAACTATAGCTTCACTGTGTGTAAATTTGGGTAGGCATGTTGCTCCTAGGTCCCAAACCATTGATAAAGTTTGAGCTCAGTCGGACACCGTTTCACCACCAAAATCAACTATACCAAACCTGATATGTCACACCATTTCACCACTCAAATCAATTATGCAACAGAACTGATACGTTCGAAAACTCTAGTAGTAACCTAGACCAACCAATCCCTCTCATATATAATGCTCTACTCAACCAATAATCCTCAAACCAACTGACTAGATCAACGTTTGAACTTACGATCACAAGCTTGAAAACAACCGAGCCATCAAAGCTGGTCAAATTCCTCCTTTTCTCTCACATTGTGTTTGTGTTGTGTTATGCTCCTTCTCCCTCTCCAATAGCAAGTGATAGCTAAGACAAATGAGGCTAAGGTTTTTCTCTCCAGATCTCCCTTACAAGGAGCAATCTCATCATTGATTCCAACAAAAGTAACCGACACAAAAGAGTTGGACTTGTGATCATCGATGACCTCTATTTGCAAGGCTCCAAAGCATCCTACATGCACACTTGATCAAACGACAAGTCTGGTTGGGCCGGAAAATATATCAAGTCATAATCTTCGGCCCGAGCTCGACCCGACAAGGCTATAATTCTCGGGGTTTACAAGTTTGTGGATGAGGTGAGACCCAGGTGAGTCTTGCATTTGGATAAGCCCCCTCCCAGATTTTATAAAAAGTTTGGTGGCTCGCGACTTTGTCGAGCCTTCAGTTTCAATAACAAGGCCTTAGGGCCAGTTTTAAGAGTTTCAAAAAAAAATCTCGTGGTTTTTTCTTTCAAATTTGCCTACTTTAGGTTGGATTTTCCAGTGTGGTCATGTCAGATCATGGGTTGTAAATTATGATCCGTTCCACTAAGATCGGGTCGGATGACCCATGAAGTTTACCCAAACGTAGATGGATAGATAACAAACAAAAAAACAGAAAGTGGTTTCCCGAAAGGTATGGTCGCCTAGTATAGCAAATAGCATGTCTTAGGGCTTGTTTGGTTGCCCGCCACCGATTGCCATGGCTAAAGTTAGGCACGCCACGATAGCTTAGGCGGGTGTTTGGTTCGTAACTGAAGCAAGGCTCGCCAAATTCCACCCACAGTACTTGCCATAGTTTTCTACGTCGATTGTGCGGCGTGCTTTTCCTCCGCCTCCGCCTCCGCCACAAACTCCGCCACGGCGTCATCCCTTCTCCTGCTATGCGGCCACCCTACCACCACCACTCGCCCCTTCACCACGAGCCGTCCGCGGCAGCCACCGGCTGCACGGGGCCCAGCACACCACAGCACCGCGCCCAGCCACACTTCGCGCCTTGGCGGATCGGGGTTGAAGATGACTGCAGGGCACGGCTGCTGCCTGGTCCTGGCGTGGCCGCTGCTCGTCCGTGTCCCTTCCGGCGCCGGCCACATCCCAAGTGATGGGGTAGAACTGAACTCCTACCAGAGCTGTGTGAGGTCTGGTGACCGACGATGGCGGATGGAAGGCCATGGAGAGCGCGCACAGTGGCAGCAGCTTGGACGGCCATGGATGGTGCATGCAATTGAGGCGTTTGGATAGGAGCTGCCGTGTGGCACGACGTGTGGTGGAGAGGTGGGTGAACGGATAAGGTTGAGGAGAGAATATTACTTGAGAATATCCTCCGTAAACATGAAGGTTAATTGGCCGTTTTTTCTTTACAAAATAAATCTAGGAATACAATAGAAAATACTAGTATAATATAGTTTTGATTATCTATTATTATTTTGTTTTGATTAGTATACTATGGTTTCCTAATTATCTATATTAGTCTTAATTTTCATGTTTATTTTTGTTCATTAGAAACACCATACAAATTTATGATGTAAACCATATGTGGCAATTTTGCCAAATTTCTATGGCAACTATCCAAACAACAGCCACACAATTTTGCCATAGTTTAATAACGAACCAAACGTTTTCATTTTGCCACAGAACGTGGCAAGCTAAGGTGTGGCAAATACTTAACCTTAGGCGTGGCAAAATATGGCCGGAAATCAAACAGCCCCTTAATTTAAGTTTATAACTTTTAGCTAGCAATATGTCTACACATAATATAATAATATTAAAAATAAAAATATTATCAAAGTATTTTTTATATTAAAAATAGTAATTGTTTTTTCCAACATCTTTTTTTTTAAATTGTTGACCAAGCTGTAAAGGTTTAAGCTTGGACAAAGCTGAATGGATCGGAGGAGGTAAGTTGCATCTGAAAACCAAAGATTTTAGCGTTCAAAGCCAAATTTTTTTTTTTTGGAAAACGACGCTAAAAGATTTGAATTGCTCTGTTCCTTCGATGGTGGCGAGCAAACACTGTCTACTGTCTCAATGTGGGTAGGCAGTGGGTAGGGCCGTAGGGTAGCGAAGTTGTTGGTCTAATTTAGGACCCGTTTAAGTTCAGGGCATAAAATTTTAGAGTATCACATTGGCTGTTAAATGGAGATATCGTATGAGGTGTTTAGATATTAATAAAAAAACAAATTATAGAATCCGTCAGTAATCTGTGAGACGAATTTATTAAACCTAATTAATCTATCGTTAGCATAGTGTTACTGTAGCACTACATTGTCGAATCATGAACTAATTAGGTTTAAAAGATTTGTCTCGTAAATTAGTCGTAAACTATATAATTAGTTATTTTTAAGTCTATATTTAATATTGTATGGATGTGTTATACATTCAATGGCGGAACTAAACGAAGCCTTATTCAATTCGGCATGTTCGATCTCCAATCTGAGCCAAACTGAGCGTTGCACCATGTCAAATCACTACTAATAAATCACCGACAGACGCTGATGGGCTCTTGTTGTCGGAGCAGTCACAAGTTTCTCAAATCATACACGTCTAATCTCTAGCAGGATCCACGGCCAGATCGACGGATGGATCTCCAGCGGCGCCGTCAGCGAGGAACGGGCGTGAGGACGAAGAGCTTGCACGAGTGCGGCCCGACCACCGCCGTGAGGCTGCCGGTGAACCTACCCGGGAGCGTCTCGTGCTGCAGAGATGAGACGAATCATAAGCCACAAGCTTGCATGAATTTGAGGCACAGGTAAGCGAGCTCGGCGCGGATGCGCGGAACAGAGCTAGAAATGGCCACCAGCCACCACGCATTCACGTACCTTCCAGACGTCCCTCGCCTCGACGGTGACGCCGCGGCGGATGCCGACGTCCGGCCACGCCGCGGTGATGGACGCGGAGCGCGTCGCCCCCCAGTTGAGCAGCAGCACCGCCTTCCTGTGGCGGGAGAGCTGCCCAGCCCATACCTGCATCATAATCGAACGCCATGGGATTCAGGATTCGTGCTGCTTGCGATGACGATCGATTTGGTAGATACTATCTGTGTACCTCGACATCGTTGCCATATTTCTTCACTTTGTTTCCCTGGACACCCATCCGATCTGCGTCGAACACAATTGGCACACACGAAGTCAAGAGTCAAGAAGCGAACTAGGGTGAAAGATTTTGCAGATAAGAAGATGGATTCTGGTTGTGAATGACGACCTTGGTTAATCGCGATGACCTCTGCGTTGGAGAGGATCCCAGCGTCTCCTTGGAAACTCTCGTCACGTCGCAGCCGATTACAAGAGGAGCCTGTCAAAGATTGGCGCCAAGAATTCCACCTGTAAACGTGAGCACACAGAGAGTCGAACGGAGGTTCATTTTTATGAGCCTGGAAAAATGATGATTCACCTTGGCGATGGCCCACAGGCTGAAGTGCACGACGTACTCGTTGTACGCCATCCCTCCGTTCCCGACCTCCAGCATGTCAGGGTCTGTGTGGGAGAGAAGAAAGCCATCAGCTGTCAGGAAAACCTCATGGATCGAATCCGGATGCATTTCATCCAGGAAGCTAAGCAGAGATAGACGTGGACGATACGAACTGACCGTTCCAACCGCCGGGCTTGGCGTACCTGGCGAAGGCGTCGTTCCGATCGATGTTGTCCAACATGCTCTCGCAAGAACACAACCCAATCGGTTATCAGGCAGAGAATTACTAGCTACGTACTCGATCTGTATAGTACTCCCATGGACCATGCGTGGGAACCTATCACTTACCCTGACCATGTGTCGTTGATGTCGCCGGTGGTCCTCCAGCTGTTGCCGTACCTGCCGCCCCATTTGGGCACTTCCATGTAGCCCCTGACGAAGTTAGTATAGCCGTCAGTCAGTCAGGTACATTTTTCAAGCAAAGGCAGAACCAGGATGCATATGCATGCCATACCATTCGCAAAGTGAGTAGAAGATTGGGCGGCCAGAACTCTTCAGCGCGCGAGACATGCGCCCAAATCTGCATCACAATTGACAGCTGCTACATACATCTGACAAGAATGCTACACGAACTGAATGTGCAGATTCGGAAACAGAAACTGCACCTCACGGTTTCAGGCGTGCCGTCTCTGTAGCAGTTATCATACTTCAAGTAGTCAACACCCTGCACAAGGTCAGCTGCCGAGTGAAGAAACGACATATATATAGTACGTAACTAAGGTAAAGTTGTTTTTTTTGCTCTTCTACGTATATAATAAAAGAAGAGTAACTGACACTGGTAGTAGACTAATAATTCTACTGGTGAACTGAAACCGCAAGTCCTGGTCAAATGCTATCAGATGTCTGAAAGTCTGAACGTCTGTAGTAGCACTGGAGTATGTATGTACCCATGACGCAAACGTTTTAGCATCCTTGTCCTCGTGGCCCAGAGATCCAGGCATCCTGTTGCTGCAAGTTCTTGTCCTGAAATTTACGGAAGGCACAAGGCAGAAGGCAGTCCGGTTTCAGTTCAACATGGATTTATCCTATTCCTTGCAGTGGAAACTTGTAAGCTTTTGGGTTCCCACTTGATTGAATCGAAAAGAGCCGAGAACTTGTTGAACGAAAAGGGGAAAAATAAAAGAACGTACCCCAGCTGAAGAGTAGATGCCAAGCTTAAGCCCCTTGCTGTGGACATAATCTGCCAGGGCCTTGATTCCGGATGGGAATGTCTTGGGATTAGCGACCATGTATCCCTGTCAGCATGTCAGTTAGCCAAGCCAATTTCTTAATTCTTGTAGGTTGCAGTCAAACAGATGGTGCTAGGTCAATGTTCAGTACAAGAAATTAACTGAAAAAGTAACTGACGACAAAGTCAACTAGCGCTCGTACTACCTCTTTGTTTCTTTGGTAATCCGCCCAGCAGTCATCTGCAATAGCAATGTCATCTTTCAGTAACACTGGACACTCTGATAACATCCAACACGTATGAAGTATGAACTCTGCATATGCTCTCCGTTAGAATACACCACCTAAGTTGACATACGTGTAGCCAGCCTTTGCAAGTCCGGTGGCGACGAGCGCATCAGCTGTGAAAGTACAGCGAATCAGTGAGCAATAGCCACATCAGAAAAAAAATGAAACCAATCAAAATGCTGCTGTCTCTGACCGGTGCTCCGGACGACCGCCTCGTTGATGCCGCACTGGAAATGGTTCCAACTGTTCCACCTGCGAAAAAGCGACGACAAAACACAAAGAAAAGCCCACGGAAAAGGCTCATCAGACAAACCACAGCCGGGAGCGGCGGAAGCCACGCATCGCATGCATGCACATCTGAATTCGGAGTGCTGGTTTTGGTTTCGTTCCTCACCCCATCTGCGGCGTCAGCCCGAGCCCGTTGGCGAGGAGGACGCGCCGGGCGCCTCCGCCAGGCAGAGGCCCCGGCGCCCTGGCCCTGGCGTAGTCATCTCCGGCACCGAGCGCTGCCACCGCGGCGGCGGCGAGGCAGGCGCCCAGCAGGAGCACGGCCGTCAGACTCGGACACAGGCTCTGAATCTCGGGCGCCATCCTTGGTGGTTCCGCACTGGCACTGCGCTGCGTCCTTCCTGAACCTCTGCGCTGCGTATGTGCTTGTCACCATGCCCGGCGTATCCGTATATATGCGCTGGAGATGGGGCAGAGGAGCCGGAGCGGTGCGTGTCGCGTGAGCGTGAGCGTGACGCACTGCACGCTGCGGCAGCGATTGATGGAGCTACTCCAGCTTGTCTGACAGTCTGACGCGCCGCGTGACGGGGCCGCGCTGTCTCACGTAGCCATACGCCTTCAGTTTCCGGTACCTTAACCATCTCCAACTCACCAACAGATTACCTATCTACATCCCTTAAATAAAACCCTTATAAAAAAGTCTACATTGTTGTGGAGTGCAGGTACGGTGCGCAGTGGACTGCTCGGGCCTGGTTTAGATCGTAAGTTTTTTTACTATCTCTTCATCACATCAAATATTTGGACACATATATGGAGTATTAAATGTAGATAAAAAAAATAACTAATTATACAGTTTGATTGTAAATTACGAGATGAATCTTTTGAGCCTAGTTAGACCATGATTGGACAATAATTATCAAATACAAACGAAAGTGCTACAGTGCCAAATACTGATTTCTAACCCCAATCTAAACGAGGCCTTAATGAATGCTGTGATTTGATCCGCGTGCCTCCTGCGACCTGTCCCTACATTTGTTCACATTTTCTCCAGCCAACAGGAAACGCGCCCCCATAGAGCAAAAATGTGAATTCTAAACCGCAGTTTCGCCGTGGCTGGTTATGAATGACAAAACTGCAAAAGTTGTCAATGTACATTACAAGCATACAAGATACAACTGAATCAAACCCCGTCACATAGTTTTCATCAGTTCTGAATGAATGGATGATCGACGGCACAACTAAAGACACCAGCAATATTCCAGCCGTATAAATAGATACCTCTGCGGAACACCCATGATTTTTGGATCATAGGCGGCAAACAAATGGTCCATAAATAACATAGGCATAACACGCATGCATTATATTTGCCACTTAGAACTCATCTATCATATTACTGAAGTATCTCAATTCTCAAATCAGTCCCCCATGCGTTACAGATTAAAGCTCAAGTCCAAAGGAGACACACGACATTCAAACATTATGTCTGATATTTTCATTTCCCCCACAAGACTCTTTACATATAAAGCTCAAGTCCAAAGGAGACACACGACATTCAAACATTATGTCTGATATTTTCATTTCCCTCACAAGATTCTTTACATAGGTACAGTGGCAAGTAATAGATCAACCATCTTCAATGTTTTCCCTTGTCTTCACTCTTCAGCGCGCTTCATATTGGACAACTATACAAGAAACATAACATTTGATGAGGTATGGCCCATGGGAACAAATATCAAATTAGAAATAGAAATCGAATTCAGAAGTATCAGTCTATAATAGTCTAATAGATCACCAATGACATCTAACTTCATACCAAATTCAGCTACCATCTTATAAGTGGCTAGATAGAATTGTCAACCATGAGCTCTAATTTCACACTCAATTCAGCTACCATTTTCTGTGTCTAGACTTGTCAACCATGAGATCTCACTCAATTCAGCTACCAATTTCAGTGTCTATAATAATTGTTCCTATGTATTGCATGGTGTTTTTCATTTTTCATACTTCTATAGCAACAACAAATGCAACGTGGAAACCTAAGCACCAGGGAATGCAGACTGCAATATCTAAACGAACAAATGCCTGTTTTCATCATTGATATTGAACATATTCTTTTTGCAATACGCAGTCAGCAAAGTCCACAGACGATTAGGTTCAGTTGTATTGTAGTGCAACTATCTCATAGCCCCATAGATATCTTTGGAAGGACTAACAGCTATAGGCAAATTGCCATTTCGAATAGTATTAGACTGGGCAGGAATTTTTTATTGGGTGAGAAAGATATACGACAACAGTGGCTACTATGTCTTAAATAACCCAGATATATGTTTATAATCGCTAACAGCTGCAGGTCATCACTAAATTGTTAATGAGAAGACTTTTGGACTATGCACTAAGCATTATCAACTAGTAAATAATCACAGAAAACATGGTCGAAGGCATCGACCCTCGACCCAGGAACGTCATTCCTGACCCAGGTACACGGGGTCATTTTCGATCCCACTGTGTAAAAAACCTTCGCAAGTAGCATACCATGTTCCTCGACCCCATCGACCAAGAAACTTTGTGACTATGCAGTAACAATAATCAAACCTATAACTACTTTTGAATGTGTGCATATTTTTGTAAGAAAAACAAATGTGTGCTATGTGCATATCCCCATTGGGATAAGATACCCCAAAGATATATAGCTAAACACACCACATCATACTAGGTTACAACCTTCATGATTTGTGTTGAGTGTAACATAAAAACTAATGTATAATAAGGTAAATGGTTTGCTGTGTAAGCGTGGACAGAAGAATATTATCATCATTCATCAAAGCCACCACAGTTTCTGTTAGTGCACGGGTACCAGTGTCCAATGATGTCCAGAAGTTAGTAGCACAGTATCCTAATTCTGCTACTTGAGCTAAGTGCACCATTATGGACTACAAACTGGTTGCCTCACTAAGCTGTAATGCTGTATACATCACTACAAATGGATCTAGAAAAGAGTATGCTAGCACGATAATTTGAATTTTGAGTCAAAGTACAGAAACCAAAACAATGAAGAGTATGGAAAAGTAAGTGATACAGAGCAGTATTAACCCTTTCCTTTATGATACAAATTAAGGTGGATGGAGACAAACAAACACATCCATCTTAAAAAATATATGAGGGTGGAGGCCAACACAGCACAAAGTCCACCAAAATTTCAGACATGTAAAACTCATAGACCTTATTTATCTGAATAGACAAAAAGACTCTTGTAGCACAGTGTTAACCAATGAAACATCTAAGACCCCTTTTAGAGAATCAGGCAGAGTGTCTTCAAGCAGGAACAAATATATATATATATATATATATATATATATATATATATATATATATATATCAAATCTATTAAATTATGCAAAGTTTCTAGCTGCAGTTGATTTCCTCAACTTGTTTCCCTTGTTCCAAAATATAATAAACGGATAAGAATCGTAATGATCAGCATTTTTAACTGAATACAAAAATAGCTGGCATCTCAAATAAGAAAGTTTAGGATTTAACAAAATGAACTCAGTTCACCTTGCCTTGTAGAAGGTAACTGGCATTGCAATTGTTTTTCTTTTCTATATATACATATCTGCTAATCATAGCACCAATTCCTCTCTTCTTTTAATGCATCGAGACTTGAAGACAATAAAGTTACATTGTTTCAGAGAGAAAGACATGAGAAGTCATGGCATGAAGGAACACGAGATTCCTAACAAAACTGTAAGTCAGCAAACAGAAGCTAGAAAAAACGCAGTCAAGGGGAAAAGATGGCACCAATGTTTTCAGAACAATCATATAAGAAGTGGAGTTATAAAGATAATTGATTAAGCACTTGGCCAATCACTCATAATACGATCTTTGAGTTTCTATGAGCGAGTCATTAGCTAAGTACCTAATCCATTATATGCCGCTACTTTTCAAAATCCTTCCAGCGACATTACTGAACCTTTAGGTTTGTAAGGTATATTACTGAAAGTACAGTCAAAACGATTATGTTTTAGACAGCACCCCCATAACAGAGGACGGTCTTTGCTTTACACACAGAATTGTTTGTTCTATCCTCAATCTAATCAATGAGGAAAACAAGGAATCACATATTTGAAAGAAAGGAGAAGGAATGGTGTGATCTTACTCCGGCGGGTGCGCTTCTTGTAGAGGATGCGGTAGCCGCATTCACGGCACTGGATGACATCTCCGGGCTTCAGGGTGTTCTCAGCCCCGCAATCTGAAGCAGAACATTAAAATTTTCAACAAGAAACGAAAGAGAAATCAAATTCATCCCTAGGAGCCAGGAGGTGAAAAATCATTTTAAAGGTATTAATTAACATTTTATATAGATTTTCAGGGTGTTCTCAGCCCCGCAATCTGAAGCAGAACATTAAAATTTTCAACAAGAAACGAAAGAGAAATCAAATTCATCCCTAGGAGCCAGGAGGTGAAAAATCATTTTAAAGGTAAATTTAATTAACCAGGGACGCAAGCGCTTCCTGATTCCGATGCCAGGTAGAATCCAATCTTCGGATGGAGACAAGGGGCAAGAGGATTACCTCCGCAGAGGTAGCTGACGGGCTCCGGCTGCTGCGGATCCATGGGTCGGGCACTCTAGGGTTTCCGTGGTACGCCGGTTTCCGTGGCAGGCCGTGCGTAGAGGAGAAGTAGAGTCTTCTGGGGTTTGGGGGTTTCTTCCCAGCCGTCACCTGTTCGTTCGTCGTAAATAATCATAAATTTTTAATTAAGATAATATTTTTCTTTCACATAAACTATGGCAACGGTATTTCTTTATGAACAACGACGATACGAATGAGTAGGGATGAAAACGGATCGGATACGAACGAATATCACTCATATTATATTTGTTTTTATATTTCTATTCGGATTCGGATTCGGATTCGGACACGGATAGCGTTCGGATACATATACGAATACGGATTGACTCGGTTACGGATACGAATAATGAGTATCGAATACGGTATGAATCGGATTCGGAGAAGGTCGGATACAAATATCTATTCGGATATTGAGTAAAAGCGACATATATATATATATATATATATATATATATATATATATATATATATATATATATATATATATATATATATATATATATATATATATATATATCATACGTCATGCAAATCATTACACCACTCTATGAGTCCATAATCCATCTAGATTAAGCCGAAAGACTAAAGAGTAAAGCAACAAATAAGATAAAGATACGTATACATCATACATCAAACATCATATAAGCACCAATCTTGGCAGATGAGTAGAAATAGCCAAACACATTGCTTCATGGGTCACATGGAGTCATGGTCATGGATTCAAGATCTACA